TTACTTCAGAGGTTGAATTCCACTCGCAAAAGTCCAAATTACTCAAAAAGGTGTGGAATGAGTCCAGAGAATTTTCAAAATCTGGACACATTCGTAGTATGTAAGATTTTTGACAGATTCTAAGAGAAGCTTATTGACCATGATCTTCAGAGGTCATTTTGCGTTAGGCTTGCAAACAATTATACTAATAGGGGGTGGCCATTGAGGCAAGGGATCTTCCAATTTACCTCCAAGTGATACACCAACTGTAAGTTCGTCTTGGTAGCTTTGAGTATCCTTCACGATGCTGTTACTTTTCTCTTTGACACAAGCATTTCGGGGAGTATACGAAATTTCATCGTATAAGTCAAATCCACGCTGAATTGTTTTTTTATTTCCTTCGGTGAACCGTAAGATTCTACTAGAAGGAAGAAGGCCTGGGTCAGCACCTCCATTATCCGAACGACGGTTGTTCGGATTTCCTGTGATAAGATTGTAACCACCACCGAGAAATTTGATGCCAGGAGGGTAGGTTTTATCTTCGTCATCTTCCAAAGATGTGTCATTTCCAAGCGTCAATGACTTGTTCAAAGGAGAGGCAATGACATGGGAAGCGCACGATATGACAAGGAGCGCCACGTAGTACATGACTGGTGTGAAAATGCTATAATAAAGATTATATTAATAGATATTACACTAGAGTCATCCGTCTGTGAAATTGGAATTTTACTATTAAATACTATTACCCGCTATTAGCTCAAAATAGTTTAACTTATGACATGCGACAAATTAGTTAGGCAAACACGGTTTTGATTTTGCTCTTTGGTAGGCTACTACACCCTAATAGTTACTATTAAACAATGACGAGTAGTAATTGTTTCACAGACGGAAAATGACTCTAATACACCTAAGTATGCTCTAATTGGATTGTTTTCATTTGCGTCTGTTTGACTATAATAACTCTTTAATAATCAGTATTTTTTACTGGTTTAATGTTTTCACTTTATTTGTTTTTTTCACACTTTTAGTGTTTTCGCTCAAATAGCATAAGTAGTAACCATTTTGAACTATTAACACTCTCATGTAAAGCTGCATGTGTGATATAACAACATCATTTCTTACTCTTGTAAGAAAAATCACTGAAAATGTTATTTGATTTTCAATTACAAAGGCCCTAAAGGCATTAGACAGACTCCTTCGACAACCCTCGATACACCCTCACCAGGGTGGAGTCCAACCCTAATTTGCTTACCTTTAGTAATGCCTTACTGAATAGTAGTGTAATCAAAACAAAGGATAGCTTTCTCGGTGACTTATTTTAAATCGTTTTGCGATGTCGTCATTCGATGTCGGTTGACATGGATCACATGCCACACGCTGTTTTCATTACAAATTGCTTTGTGATTGGGCCGTAGATTCGAGCTATGGGATAATGGTACAAGTATGGCTGTCAATTACACAAAGCCATCGACTTCCATTTTCGACCATTCAGGGCGACCAAGTGTATTTTCTGGTGATTCAAGACTGTCGATTAATCCTGTTATTCGGAGAAAGAAAAATTCACCCCATAATCCGTGAAATGCTTAATATGCTTTTTTAAATGTTAACGTTCATAATATTAGGAGGAGCCGACGGGTTCCTGGGAGAAATATATCTGTTCTTATGTACCAGCCAGGTGTAAGTCACAACTGGTTGCCAGCGAGAAATTCAGATAAAAAGAACTCTCCAAGCAAGGAATGCTTTCTAAGAGTTTTTCCAGGAAAATATAAATTTCCTAACTAAAAAAACGTGATATAAGCCTTTTAAACCTTATTTTATTTTTTTATTTTATTAGCTTTGCCCTGAAGAATACACAAACTGAGAAATAACTACGTTGATATAAATAATACATACAATGGACATAAGACGATACAAGAACAAGTTATTTAGAAGAACAGACCCTGTCGGCTCCTCCTGTAATATATTGATTAACGACTGCTATCTATTGCTGGTGAAACGCCGATGTTGCCACACCTACCTACGTAAGACTACTTTCTTTTATATATTTCTTGGGTGTTTTGATCATCCGTGCCATGCGATATATCGGAATTGATTAGTTTTTACCCATGTAAATTACTTGAAGATTTAAGACTGTTTTAAGGAACCATATTTATTGTCTTAAATCCATGACTATTTATCATAAAATGATCTTTTTCTGGTCCTTGATCTGTGGGACCGGCAAAAATTGAACCATGGTGTATTCGTGATGTTGACATCGAGAATAGCAAACAAAAGAAGGAAAAAAGCCGCCGACAAAAGTGTTTTTCTGATGTTTATTACCTTTAATTTCTCTAACTGATTAAAAGAGTGAGTTTTAGATTGAGTGTCATGTTAATTTTTTACATGTGACAAATTCTAACCCTAACCTGCTTGGTACATAGAAAAAAAGAACTAGTCTCTGACAGCTGAAATTTTGGTTGTTGAATAATAATACGGTTTATATGTATTTACGGTTGACGGTTAAAATGAGCGTTCGTAAAGCTCAATCGAATTCATAGAGAATTGAGTGAAATCAGCTTACTCTATACTAGATAATCACCATGAAAATTACGAAGAGAAAATGAAAATTCAGTTGTATTGTATTGCAGGGTGTACTCTTACCCTAAAGGTGTTGACTTTTTCAAATTGAGTTCATTTAAAACTTTTTTTTCACTTTGTTCGCCTATATAAGCCCAGCCATTTAATATCCTGTCTTCCTCAGTTTTTAAAAATAGATCACCCGAGTTGACGCTCTTTATCAGGTTTTGATTGAAAGAAGACATGTAGTCCATCTATAGGAACTGATAATCACGAAGTTTTCAAATCACTTCGTGATTTATTCTTAATTCTTAAAAGAATGCAAAAAATTGTGAAAGTAAATTTGTGAAAGTAACTCCTGGTTCATTTAATACTTTTTGTGCGATATTTAGCAGCTTTTGAAGGAACTAGATCATTTTTGACAAATCTTTGAAAGCGTAGACACGGCATAGTAAACATCGCGCATGGCAATGTCGATGTGACTCAAATCGTTCACTCTGATAGTCTTTCGTGTGAAACACAAAGCAAAAATATGGATAGGCTAATTCTAATATACCACACTATCAAAATCAGACAGTTTGCAAAGTGTCTGTGATAGTTGAGTTAGCGCCGTGGCAGTGATCTCAACAAGAAGGTCATCCAGATCTATAAAACCATGATCGCTTCAATCTTCATCTAGAAATACTCATGCGTGAATACCATTGTTTTCTTTACATGTAATCCAGAAGAAACAGAATGACTTATCAAATTAAAAAAAATAAGGCTATGTTACTCAGAATCAGACAGCCACGTTGCGCTTGTATTTTACTTTATGCGTATTCAATGTGGGATGACAAGACTCAATCTCGTACCCAGAAGTAAATTGTAAATTTCCACCAATAAAAATGAGGCTTAGAGTAGGGCAGCCTGCGTTTCATCCGGTTTTATTTGGCAAATAAAACCGGATGTAACGCAGGCTAAGAGGAGGGCGGCAAAGCGAAATATTCGTCCAATCTGTCGAGCGATTTACTTTCTTCTTCCCCACCTTCCTTCACCCGGTAATCATTCCGCACTCTTTCAGTTTGGAAACCTTATCTCTTATAAGTGCGTTTGAGGGCGAAATGACTATGACAATAGATTTAAATTGTGGATCCACAGAAGCAACATGGTCAAACACTTCAGGCAAAAGTTGATAAACTAAAGACTTCCCGTATCCTAATGGAAGAATGGCTAATGCATCTTTTTCCTCCATTACTATAGACTTACTATGGCAATTTCTCCAAGACTTTTAACGTATTTGAGTTTCAAATTGGAGTTTTTGAAGCCGTTTAAAACACTTGTTATCAAAAATAGATTAGTCATGTATAGTCTGACCAATGTGTCTTGCATCCCATTTTTATCCAACATACATGTATATCTTTTTGGAGCTCCGCTGTTAGGCCAAGTGTTTTTAATGGTGATTCAAGACTGTCGATTAATCCTGTTATTCGGGAGAAAGAAAAATTGACTCAATTGTCCGTGAAATCACCCATGTTTAATTTGCTTTTATCGTTAACGTCCATAATATATTCATTTTTAGCTGGTATCTATTGCTGGTAAAACGCCTATGCAGGATGTGGTCACGTGCTTGGATACCAACATAGCAACACGATTTTGGAGGGAAAAGAAGCCGAAAACTACTCCAAATTCAGGTAACCAGACATAAAAAAACACGGTTTTTTCGATTTATGCAACCAAAAAAGGCAACAAGTCCATTGCCTTTAATTTAATTGTATCTGAGAAGTCAAGAAAGAGCTTTATAGCTATCCGTCATGCACATCGGTCGCAGCCTATACACAATATTTGATTTTGGGCTGAAGTGTTGCTAGTTTGGAATGGCTCTGGTTCGGCATTGTGAAGCTTGTGTAACTTCTTAATTTCCTCTAGGTAAAAAAGGACTTACACCTTGCTTTTTAGCATCTCTAAAGCAAACATGTACAAATAAACAGCAATTGACTATTTATTTCTCCTTTTTTAATTTCATTTATTTTGTTAAATACCGATAATACAACGGTATTTTCATGGGAATATAATAATAAACCGTTATCTTCATGCGATAATTGTTTGCCAACATTTCAGTGTTTCGGGTTCAAGATTTAGGTGTGTAATAGCAGTAGAACTGCTTAATATCATCACCATACACTCCTTTGGGAACAGTTCCTTCTATTTTGTTTTTAGAATTATCATCCTCGGTATTCCAACAAAACCATTCTGATTTTACATCCATCTTATAGACCTTCTGGCATTCATGGTTATCTGGAGCCATGTACAGAAAAAAGGGTTTGTTATAGGGCAAAAAAATTTCATTTTCAGGGTAATCGTCTGTGCGACAGCAATATTCAACTCTGGTGCCRGGGTTGYSTCCTTKCCATTGGTCGCCATCAGGGAGAGCACCTGATTTCTCATTGCCGTTGTTTTTTTTCTCGTCATTCCATGTCACCTTCCCTTCTGTAAACCCTGTGTATGAAAATTGACAAGTGTGAGAACTCTTTTCACAGCAAGCAAAAAACAAAAAAACAAACATATTTTCAATAGATATTCTTCTATCATTGTCCACTTAGCGCTCGCCTTCCTTCTATGCAAAGGCACAGCTACTTTTCAATGCAAGATGTCGCAGGTAGCCTCAAAGGAGACTATTTTTTCACAAAGGTATCAAGACGAGGCTCCGTGCATGAATCTCATTCATTATGAATGACTTAGCATTATGCATGTCAACCATTGTAATTACCATTTGGGCAATCACCCTTCTTGTTGATGCAATACGATCCTCTGGGCCATATAAGGTTGTCTGGTGTATTTTGAGTTTTAACGCAGAATCGTTGCTGTGAATTTTTCCATTTTACATCATAAACAATCAACATATCTAAGTGATTATCCTCGCTTCCTTTTTGCCAGTCCTCTGTATCCTCGTTATCCTGGAAATACTTTCCTTCGTGCCAGGTGAAACCACTACCAGTAGGGCATCCTCCGTCTGGTCTTGGAAGTCCATAGGTACCTTTCGGCCAGTTCAAATCAAGCGTAACTTCTTGATCTATAAAATATAATGAACAAGAACGAAATACTACAGTCTTTCTTACCTTAATAAATAAAAAAGGCGGGTGAAAGGTCGGATAATTGTGAAAAAATAATTAAATATCTTTAAAAAAAGCAGGATTTGTTTTAAGAGGCAAGAAGTGCAATTTTCAGTTTTACGATCAATGGAGGAAAATTCTTCCAAAATGGGTCATTTTTATTTGCCCTTTAACTGCCGCAAAAACGTGATATTATTGGTTTTCATCCACGTGAAGAATTAAGTCAGATAAGCTTGACATCTATGTTAGCTTTTACAATGCCAGACAGCTATTCACCCAACAAACCGTGATTTGTAAAGTATAAAAAAGTTGAAGTTCCTCTGGGTGACTATACAAAGTCAAAGCTACCAAATGTACATATTATTTTGATTTAATGAAACCCGTTTTCAAACCTCTACTGGTTTTATTAATGGAAATTCGAATACTAGGAAACTTCAGTTTTGATTTGATTTGAGTACGAAATTGAGTACGAGTGGTCTTAGGTGYGCTATTAATCATGAATTACATTCCTGTGAATAGATTGAAACATGGAAGAAATAAAAACACGAAGTGGATTGACATTAAGTATGGACAACAAAATAAAAGCTGGTTTGAAATCTCGTACTCGTTKTCAAATCTGAAGTTTCSTACTTACTTTSGGGTRACACMACRTSGAGGAGCTGCGGGTAATYYGAGAAGAAGGTCAATAGATGKYCTTTCCKTKTTTYCAGTGTCGCTTCTTCCAAAACACAATTTGCTTTCTCTAAACTTTCTTCTTTATACATYTCCTTCACAAAAAGGTCAGTAAGTGGTTTCAATTCAATYTTTATAGGCTCAGGTCGTTCTTYTGTGCCAATGGTAAACTCAGTCTCTTGTGATCCAAATTCACAGCCCGCTTTCGTGGATTTTTTTAACCTGTCGAAGTCGACTGAAAGTGAACCACTAAACTTTCCATACCCTGCTTCGACAGAAACGGARGCCTTATTCTACAAATAAACAAGAATTAAGGTAACTCCACTGAGTAAYAGCTTTGTTTAAGTAAATTCTTTCATCATATAATAAACTATGAAATACCTATATTTCTCCGCATTTCATAAAGTTTATATTTTCCATAACATGTTTTTTCACCAGTGAAAATAACACATTCGAAGTTTCTCTATATTGGAAATATTAAGAAAAAGGTATTTTACGACATAATTTGCTTTCATATTTAATTATATGATAAACAAAATATCTAAACTATATAACTATATAAGACACCTTCTAGCATGGCACAAGCAAGTATAGTGTCAAAATGTTTCGGCTTTGACACTCGCTATCGTTTAACAAATAGTTCTTCCTGGTGAGTAGACCATACCTGCTCTAAAGCAAATTCTGTAAACTCCGCGGTCGTAGCCTCAAAGACCTTTATTGTTTTTGTTCCCAAGTCCGCCTCTACAACAACATGCTGAGAAAAATACAATACAATAGTATACAAAAAAAACACTTGGAACGATCCAGGACTTTCAAACTTTCAAAACGGAGTAGATCTGCAATCCCGATGAAGGGGGGCGGGGGAATTTCTCTATATTTRCTATATAGTCGGGTATGTACAGCGGCTTTTAACTCTAGAATAGGGTATCCTTTTTTGACATTTTTTCTGAGATGGCTATGGTTTTTGTCTGGAAAAAGGTTATAATTTGGCCTGGAATGTCACCGTGGCGGCCATGAAATTTTGTGTTGCTTTTGAATTATTATATCGATCCATTATTCTACTGAGTATCAATCTTCAAAACAACCAAGATCGATCTGACTGGCTCGGCAATGTTAAACAATCGTCAAATGACAGATTCCACGCCATATTCCCCCTTACTTTTGCAACTGCGACCAAGCTTCACGGCCTTATGGGTTTTCATCGAACGAAGACAGGCCATGTCATGCGAACATTTGTAGCGCGCGCGATGCTCTTCTAAAAATTCGCCGTGAATCTAGATGCAAACCACACCAATCTGTGCTTGGCGTTCTGAAATCAAATGGTCTACTAAGGTTTCGAGGAAAGCGCTCTAAGCGACATAGATTAAATWAGCGTAAAAGTCATTTAATTCCTACCAGAATCTCTTCACGCTTCACTGAAGTCACAACAGGGTTCGCGCTACTCCTTGAACTCCTTGAAAAGCCCTTGATTCAGAAACTCGTTTTTAAGTGCACTTGAAAAGCCCTTGAAAATGGGAAAAATGCCAAAAATCCTCCAAAAAAGTCGAATCTTCTGGACGTATTTTTTCCGATGGCCCGCTCAAGCTTTCTCACTCTTGGATTCCTGTGTTTTTGTAAGCGTATGCGCGGCTCGATATCTAGATTATGTCTGGAATGTAAAACGTTTTTGCTCGACACAGAAACAATGTTGTAAATTCCATTTAAGAGTCAGAAAGAACGGTGTTCAATTCTTAGGTTTAGTCAGGGGTAGGATATCATCATGGAAAAAGGAAATTCTAGGTCTGAGATAAGGTCACGTTATTGAGGTCKTTTCGGCACACCCCCACCCAAGTCRAGTTGAGGTGGTAGTTSAACCCTACACACCCCTGGGTCTGCAATGCGTCTAGGGATTGCGCTCTTACCGTTCCATGCGAGTTAACAAAATTTCTATAYTTGGCCTCGTCATATTCCTCTGGAAGTTGGCACACAGCAGCTGCAAATTCTTCCGACACATGAAAGTTTCCTCTTTGGAGTTGTGCCCAAGAATATGTCGCGTCGCCATAWAGACATGTCTCTCTTTCTTCAGAGTAAACTTTCTTATTTGTGATGGTCTCCTCTGTCATCTTTTTATATTCTACAAYAGACCGAATCAAGGTTAATGGCGACATCTTAGAAGGTGCAACTAGACTKGGGCGAGCACGCGGCCAACCATACATTCTCTTATAATGATTCGTGAACAAGTTCTTTATGTCGACTTTATTTAGCTTTCAAGGTTACGNTTCAGTTATCACGAACAGCAGCTGTTTCCTTGACAACCTTAAGATTAGTCCCGAAATCATTTTTAAATCATTCTGCCTTAAAAACAGTCAAATCTAACCACAATTATTCGGCGGTAAAAGGGTTAAAGTAAAGTACGCTTATTGCAAGTCTAAAACCGTTTTACGTGACGTACGGAATAAACGATAAATTTAGTGAAAACTAGTTTCAAAAACCTCCTCATTTCACTAATGAAGGTCCGTTGCATTCACCGAATAAAAACAAACAATACTAAATGATTCTGGGTGAATGATAAAAAAAACTTTTGAAGTAAAACTTAGAACAATTTCAGAAAATATTTTTTATGTGTTACGAAAATGTTTAGTCAAAACTTCATTATACATGTCAATAACTTTGATTTTCTTTGTACTGGAGTTTTAACAATTGAAATACTTTCTGGGAATCTTAAAATATTTTTATGTTATTTCTTCGATTCACAGAAAACAATTTCTCAAAGACGTCATGTTTCGACTATTTACAGCTGCTGGTGCAGGTGTAGTAGCAGGTTTGCTCTATGTTTGGCAAAATATGCAGAGAAGGGTCTTTGATGTCAGAGTTACCCAAAGGAGAGTCACATTCAGTGCAGCTCGTGAAGATCAGTGTATCTGTAGAATTGAGGTTGAACTTCGCGACCGTGAAGAACTTGAGGAAGCTGTGCGATTCACCAGGCCAGAAACTTATACGATAAATCGCGATAACCAGATAGTGAATCTTAATGTATTGGCGAACGTCTCTAACGCCGAAAGAGGAAAGCTAATCATTGAAGTATATGCTCGATTGACGGTGGCTGGAAGCTACACTTTGATCCCAAAATTTAACGATCTTGGAAGGATTAACCTCGTTGAAGGATCTGTTGTCAACTTTGATGTTCAACCATCCGAGGCAAACTCACTGAAAGTGAGAAAGGTAAAACAACAACGGCGTAGTAATGTTTCCTTTGATGATGAAAACGACTTTGAACTTTATAAGGGTAGAGAGGCACAGGTATTTGTCGAGGTGATGGATAAATATGGGAATACAGTTAAAGATGAAGAACTAAAAGTTGCTAATAGTCCCTATTTGGATTATAAATCCTGTCATTTCGATGAACGAAATTGTTGCACATTGGTAACAATCTTTTGTCGAGATGACGGCAAGACATTACTGACGTTGGAGAGTCATCCTCATCACATTCAAGTAAGTGACATCATTGACATTACTTTCCAACAATTTCAATAAAGAAAGACGTTCTAGGCATGATTGCAGAGATTGACATAACTGACTTATTACAGCAGAAACCGTTGCATCGCGACTTCGATATGTTCAAAGAAAATAGTAGGGATTTAGGTTTTTCTGCGACTTGGGGCGGAGCTTGATACTAAACAGCCAATGATTGAACGAGTTTTCGAAAAGCTCCGCCCCTCAGATTGAAAGAAAGAACAAAATCCAGACAAACTTCAAAACAAAGAGGTCGCGATGCAACGATTTCCGCTGTAACGACTATGTTTGAAGAGGGGGACCAAGGAGGTGTATGAATGATCAGCAATTCCTCGATTAAAAATATCTAAAATCCGTTGGCCGCTCTAAAAAAATAGCTGAATCCACCAATCCTCTTTAAATAATAACCAGACCACCGCTGACGGTAAATATTTATGGAATAGGCAGTAATACAGCACCGATCGAAATTAAACCTGCTCTTTGATTGCTGCTTATGTATATCAGCTCTATTTTTAGGTTAGGTTTTCTTTTATTGTTGAAAGACTTATCTGTTGCTTGTCCATTGTTTCCTCAATCGTGAGACAAGTGCCGATTAGTGCCGACTGGACGTGAATAGAACGGGCGTCCTTTGTATGAGTAACCTTTTCCCCATCCCAAAAATCCTGGGTGCGACCCTGACTAGGCCTGTAGGGAGGATCGTAGCTGGGAACTAGCGTAAGACTTATAAAGTGCAACTGAACTCTTTTAGAAAATCATTTTTAACAAAAGGCAAACATGATGCTAATTGTTTTTTTTAAGCTGCAAAATGCTAATGAAGTGACGTCAACCAAGGAATTGGGCTAGAGGTTTTTCATTGTTTGCGATATCCTGCGTTTGGTTGAAATGTGCTTAGCAGCATTTTCTTTTTCCAAATTATCTTCAAAACGGGTTCAGTTGCACTTACTTAACAGACTTACCTTACTAACACTAATGTAGGCCTTGCCAATCGGGCAATAAACATGAATCAAAAAATTCTGCAAATATTGCATTATTCATAAATTTGATATCAACGTTTTTTCATACATTAGAGGAGAGTCCCCATCAACATAGTCCCTGCACCCATGGATCCTGAAAGATGCAATCTTCGTCTTGACAAAAATCGCCAAGTGGTTGCTGGGCAACTTGTAAGACTGAAGCTAGAGCTTCGTGACATTTACAGCAATCCTTTCAAACTAGAAAATACAGCAGAGAATCAATTACGGTTCTCCTTGCGTGGACATGTTTTTCACCGACTTGTAGAGAGTTGCATTTCACTGGATTTAGTACATGGTACTTGGACTGGACCCCTAAGATTACAGGCAGAAGATCATTCAGAGTTTGTGTTGATGGGGAGCAACGAGGCACCAACGAGGTACGCGTTGATGTTGATCCAGGTCCACTTAAATCTTTACAAATCGCCTGTTACGATGATCTAGGGGAAAAGAATAGGTCCAAATGTCATACCAATGAAAAGTGCAACGCATGTTTAAATGGTTTCGACGAATTCGGAAATACAGTTCAGCTTGATGCTGATCACTGGTATTTAGAGGTCGAAGATGACAAAGAAATCATAACGGAAACGACAATTGTTGGCAAAATCATTATATTTACCTACAGTTTCCAAGAAGAAGGCACATACTCTGTTCTTGTTGCGACACAAATTCAACGCGAGGTCAGTGTTCCAGAATCGTTTGTTGTTAAGGTTACTGAAGCCCCTCTTGACCCTTCAAAGTGTAAAATAAGCACAAAACTCCTCTGTTTGGACAAAGGCCTAGCAAAGTCAAGCTCAGGCTAGAACTTTTCGATTGCAACTCTATGCCATATCATTATTCAAAGCTTGACAGAAACGCCTTTGAGTTTAAGTTTAATTGCGTGAGCAGCAATATGGAGAGCCGTGAGCACATCGATTCCAGTGAACCGAATGTAACTTATTTTAAACCATGCGTCAATATTGAAGAAGACACAGTCAGTTGTTTTCTTGAGGTCTTTTATAAAGGAAAGTTGCTTGGAAGTCCGTTACAGCTAGACGTAATTCAGATTCTCCCTTACAGGGAAGACGATTATCTTTCCGACGTTGAAGATCCCAAAACTGTGCTGGATATGTACAACATGACAAAAGCAAAAGTGATCGGCGAAGATTATTCCAACCTAGATAACGTCAATCGCATATTGTGGAGAAATTATGATAAGGGAATTGCACGCTCCGAAATTGTCACCATGGACGACCATCGAAGAGTATCAGTTAATATTACAATGTTTGAACCAACGCAAAGAGTTTTTGTGCGCAGGGTTTTTTCTAATGTCATCAAAGGGCTGCATTATCGCAACCAAGCATCCAAATTCAACAAACAACGAGAAGATTGGAAGACCAAATCAATTGAAGCATACCGTAATAACAGTTATGAAGATGCTAAAGAGTACTCCGAAATCAAGGATAAGTTTGGAGAATTAATGAATACCTCTAATTGGAGAGCTTCTTACGCTGTGTTTGAATTTTTTAACCATGGTCGTCAAGCGAACGAGATTGATCTTCACGGTCAACTGGTGGCCGATGAAGCTAAATTAAACTCGCACAAAATGCAATTGCTTGAGAAACGAAATGAAGACGAAGTCCAGAAAATAATCAATACTGAACGTGATGAAATGGATGAAGCTATCCGTCATCTAAGAGATAAAATCGACCAAGTGAAGGACAACGCTGACTGGCTGGAGATCATTGTTGGAGCAGGACATCACTCTCGAGCTCAACTCCAAAAGATCAGCCCAAAAGTTAAAAAGTTTCTTGCAGAAATGGGGTGGGAGTACGAATTATGTAACAAAGGATCTCTCCTCATAACATTTAGGGAGTACAATGGAAAGCAACCTTGCCGTGCTACCTTTTATTGCTCAGAATGCGACAAGACCTGGGTATCTAACAGCAGTTGGAAGGGGAAGTGGCAAAAATGTTTCCGTTGTGACAAAAAGGGCATAGATTCCAAGTGCAACCCATTGAAATTAGGGTGTAGGGAACAATCTCGAGCTCAGAGACGACGAACCACAAATGAATGGAATAGCTTTACTCAAGAGGACCACAGGAGACTTTGCCAAGTGTGCATTGAAAAAGGCGAAGACTGCAGGACTGTGTGACGCTTGGATTGGATTTTCGACGCTGCATACCATAATTGCATCCATGGCGACGCTGAAGATTGTAAGGACCTCAAAGTGATTTCTTGAAACTAAGTGAATGGGAAACCTCATCCCAGACATTTCACTTTCTTAGTTCTAAATAACTTTTGATGGATTGGAAGAGAGGGTATTGGCAAATCGATTCCTCTGGTCTGTCTCAATGTGAAGACGTTCAGCTATTGTTTGCAAAGCCCGAATGATGTTAACACTGAACTTGTCATGGAACCAGGTCAATGCCCGCCAGAATTATTATATACAGTCAATGCCATTAACGTTGTTCTGCAGTTGTAAAGACCTAAACACAACAACAAAGTCATTTGCTTATATCATATGTTTTCAATTTCTTTGCAAGAATATTTAACATAAATTTACAGACTTCCTTAACAATAATAATAACAATTGCTTCGGTATTTATCTAAAGTTTAAAATTAGAATTCGTCCTGGAAATTTTAAAAACCTTTTCAAGTGAACAAAGTTAATGGATTAATTGTGCGTCTGTTTGGTTGCATAAATTTACACTGGAAAAAGTGATCAATTTCCATAGTATGTAAAAATCATGGAATTCTTGATCACTTTTTCCAGTGTTAAAGCATTAAAAAAAAAACAAGATTAACAATTTACAACACAAAATATAAAGGGAAAACGTTCGACTATAGAATTATTCTACTTTATGTATCATGATCCTCTCTTAATCAGAAATAGAGGACACTTGTTGAGGTCAAAATCACTATGAACGATTGCCAAGTGGGAATACTCCAATTTCGAGTTCTGTTTTGCTCTGTGTTAGCCTCAAAACCAACATATTCTTTTGTTTTATTGATAGCCCGAGAAAATGAATGGAATTCGAAAAGAAAGACAATAGAATTGAATGGAAATCTCGCACTTTTATTCTCACAATTAGGAATATTTTGCGCACAAATGAGGCTAACACAGAGCATTGGAGAATCCGAAACTGGATTATTGCTTATAGGCAAAGCATCCTGGATAGCCAGTGTAAATATAAAAATTTGTATCCTAAATTCTCAATTCTACCTTTTTTCATAATGCTCAGTAGTAAAGGTTGATTTATAAACATTTAGAACTCATGAAAAAAGCAAAATTCAAAGAAAACAACAACAAACTTCTTAGACATTGTACTCATTAGTTTTATTTTAAGTCATATTTTTACGCTTTTCATGCACTGGTCTAGCTTAATCGTTGAATAAAGTGGTGAGCTCTATTTGTGTTATACACTATTCTTTGTTGGTTTAAGATTAGTTTTTCTTTGTGAAGTAACAATAATACAGCCCTAAGTTGGGGTTAACTGATGCTCCGCGTGGAACGATTTTATGATGCACCAGTTTTCTGTTTACCATTCTTGGTGGACACCCTAGCTTAAGGAGGATTTTCCAAAGGCCTTCGCGGTTGATGGAATCAAAGGCTTTGGTGAGATCTATAAACACCATAAACAGATCGAGGTTCTGTTCTCTACACTTTTCTTGCATCTGCCGAGCTGAAAACATCATATCTGTAGTTCCTCTTCCAGTTCTAAACCCGCACTGGCTCTCGGGGAAGATACTATCGATAACAGGCGCAAAACGGTTGGTAATGATTCTTGCGAACACTTTGCCAGCTATGTTGAGAAGTGACATCCCTCTATGGTTGTCACACAATCTTCTGTCGCCCTTGTTTTTGTATAGGTGCTTCAGAATCGCATCCTTAAAGCTCTGTGAAACGGCTTCGTCTAGCCAGAGTTTTTGATAGAACTTAGTCAGTTCAGTAACTCGAGCGTCACCCCCATATTTGGGATGCCATCGTCGCCAGGTGCTTTGCCACTTGAAAGTTGATTGATTGCTTTGACAGTCTCAGCTACAACAGGGACATTGTCGAGCTCGTCGATAATAGGCCGTTGTGTTATTTCGTCTATGGCATCTTCAAGGATTCTTGAGTCGCGATTTAGAAGTTGGCTAAAGTGCTCTGCCCAGCGCGCGAGGATCAAAGAAGGTTCTTTAATCAATGTTTCTCCGTCTACAGCAAAGAGTGGACATGTTCCTCTCGACAATGGTCCATACACAGCTTTTATCTCGTTGTGGAACGTTTTCGCATCATGCGAGTCAGCGCTTGCCTGAAGAAGTTTTGTTCTTTCTGACCACCACTTGTTCTTCATTTCGCGGAGCTTGGCCTGTGCAACTTGCCTGGCTCGTTTATAGCGATTCTTTTTCTCTGTAGAGGTTTTATCACTCACATACGCTAGATGTAGGGTATGCAGAGAAGACAAAATGGAGCTCACCGATGTATTGTTTTCATCGAACCAATCCTTGTTCTTTTTACAAACAAAGCCGACAGTAGTCTCAGCAGCTTTAAGAACACTTGTGCGGATACCATCCCACTGTTCGGATGTTGAGCCATATCCCTCCTTCTTCAGGTTGGCAAGGGCTGCTGAAATGTTGGTTCCAAGGAGAAGTTGCGTGTCTTTGCTGGTAAGCTTGGCGACGTTAAGCCGCTTTTGACCTATGTCACGATGATGCCGTTGTTTTGGCTTGAAGGAAATGGCAACTTTACTCCTTAACAGGGCAATGGTCGGACAGGTATGTGGACGCTTTCGCAGCACGAGTGAGTTTAACATCATGCCAGTCACGCTGCCTGATGATGACAAAGTCTATCTGGTGCCAGTGACCAGAGCGTGGGTGCTGCCAAGTTGATTTGAACTTGTCCTTTTGTTGAAAAAGGGTGTTAGTGACAACTAGTTGCTTCTCTGAGCACAAAGATAGCAGGAGCGTGTCGTTGGAGTTCTCCTTCCCTATACCATGGTGGCCAATGACCTTGGTCCACGCTGAGTAGTTTGTCCCAACGCGAGCATTAAAGTCCCCTAGAACGAACAATTTGTCAGATTGTGGTGCCGCCTGTATAAGTAGGCCCAACTGCTCGTACCCAACTGCTTGTACCATATAGCTGTTTCAAAATAGGTTGTCGTATAAAATGGCGCGAATGTCAATGATCGAACGGCAATTGCACGGCCGAAAGTAGCCATGGTTTTTGCTAGTTGAAAGGCAATAACAACTGATTTGTACTGTAAGATTGTCTGTGGTAAGCATTGGCTCCATTTAGTCTCCATTTCTTTGTAAGGTAAAACCAATGAGTGAAATTTTGTTTATCAAAAGAGTGTAACCATAGTCCATTTCGGCCGTGCAATCTCCCTTCGACAATCACCGTTTGCCGTTTTCCCCCACAACGTTTAGCTGTATGAAAAAAAAGGTTTTTCGAAGGGTAGAAAGATCTCGTTCTCCTTACTAGCATCTTGAAGACACCAGTATTCATGAATGATACCAGGTTTACCAAACCATTTTGATCCCTCTGGAAGTGAGCCTGATTTTCTATATTAGGTGATGATTTTGCAGATTTGAAATGTCACAAGTTCACAGATGAATGATACTTCTTGTCAAATAATACCAATAAATATAAAAAGCTTGTAAAATGAGTAACGAAGATCAATAACCATACATGCTTCGTTGTCAACCTCTTTTAGTCCTGTGTAAACAAGTATAGGTAGTACAAATTCGAGGGTTGTTGGTTTGAACCGAGGTGAGGTCGGAAAATTATTCTTTCGCCCGGAATAACATCCTTCTCTAGCACTTATTTTTTTTAGTTTTCTCTTACTTTGTATTTTTCCATTTCATATACCTAAATCAAACCTATAATCCTGTTATAGCTTGTTTCAATGCGCAGGTTTTAGTGTCCAATGGAATGACAACATCAGCAGCACTTGTAGCTCGACTTTTACGATATTAAATCTGTTTATGCTGTAGAAAAATAACAGCGAGAGGATATTTCTCTTATAAATCAGAATATTATAATTTTGATTTTCACGATCTATTATTCGACACAGATTTGAGAACCGATGTCATCTCAAATCAACGCTTCAAATCAACTCGATGTCTCACGAAATAATTGTAGGATAACTGCTATTGTATTCTGTCTGAGTAATATATTTATTTCAATTTTTTCCTTAATAACAATTTCCTGTCACGTCAAAAATAAAAACAAGTCTTTGTAGAATATTCTCCGAACTCGATTACCCGGAACAGATCTCGTATCTCTATTACTGCATGATTAATTTTGGCCAATGAAAGTTTACATCATAAAGATCCCCGTTGCGCTCTTCTGTTTTGTATGCACTAAGCAACACAGAAGCAGTCTGTGAAAACTGGTATTCGAGGAAACTTTTAACTTTTCAATAACTTTTCAGCCGAATATTAGTACAGAAAAATGAATCGTGAAGCACGACACATTCTCGGGACGAACCAAACAACCGAGCAAGAGAGATTGCCAATGGACCTTGGTGAAATAACTCTGGCTAGTCAGATATTGTTACCTGGTAGAACGACTGGTTTGGCTTCCAAACACGAAATTGAGATCAAGCAATTGAAACGAAGTCTACAAGAAAAGGACGAAGAAATAGCAGACCTTCGTCAGAAGCTGCAAGACGTCTATGAGAAAAACAACGATCTCCAGATTAAATTGAACACAAAAGACAGGGAGGTCGAGCAACTAAAAGAGAGAATTCAAACTCTCGAAGATGAGAAGAAGGACCTACAAGTTGAGTTGTCGGGAGTTGAGACTAAACTGAAAACGGTAGACAGCGAGGTGAAAGCACTTAAGAAGTCTACAAGTTCACACGAGGAAGAGAATCAAAAGCTTAAAGAGGATTTACAAAGAGTTGAGTACAGCTTGAAGACTACAGAGACCAAATTGACAACAGAGAATGAAAAGCTTAAGAAAGAAGTGAAGCAGCTCAAAGAAACCCAAGTTATGCCAATGCTTGAACCACCACGAGCTCCTCTTCCATCGACATTTCAGAGTATGGCTTTGTTGCATTTTGGAGAATTATGTTGGCAAATTCAGGGGAAAATGTACAAAAAGGTCTTGCCAAAGCACTATGTTCCCGTGCGTAGCTACAAAGTGAAGAATATCGACAAAGATGTAAAGAAACTTGCTCAAACAGACGAAGAAAGAAACGCCGCAAAAGAACGATGGAAAGTCTTAAAATCCAAGTTAAACTGGAGTGAGGAATTAGAGGAAGCTATAAAATCACTACAAGATTCGAGAAATATCGAAGCCCATCCAAGAATAAGCGAGTCTTCGCTTCTTGATTTTGCTAAAGTTTTAGAAGAAGATGGAATCTTGAAGGGATGGCTATCCCTTGAACGAGTGAGCGAGCTTATAGAAATCTGGAAACGTCTGAAATGTGAAGAGGAATGATAATTGCAGTAACTAGTAAGTCTTTTGCCACAATTTTGGTTATTTTGTTTTTTAGAACATTGGTACAAGCCATAAAGCATGTCGTCAGCATGCAGTCGATAATTGTACTTCATAACTTGCATACGAGAATTGCACTTTGTAACCTGCATGATCTTGTTAGAAGATAATCTTGTGAACTGAAATCTTTATCATTTATTCGGAATAACTCGTTAAGAATACAATGATGAACGATTTGCTCAAAATAATATTGGACACTAAACACTGGGACTGAACCAGAGACAGTCATAATCATTGCATAATTATGAAAGCTTTAACCAGGTTCAATATATTACATTTATTTAGATATCCGTCAGTAAGTCATTTAAGAGAGCCTGGTAAAGCCTCTACTGTCTGTTTCTATTATCATTACTACAAAAATCCACATGAATATATAGTTCTTATTTTCGTCCATTTGATTTACGAGATGAAGTATATACTGCGTTTCTTTATGTAATAAAACACCATTGTACGATATTCTTATATAAAAATAGAATATAAAAATAGTAAATACAACAATTAGCGCATGATCAGATTTTAGGAAGCACATCATGAACCTAAGAAAAGAAAATAATTCAAAAAAATTAAGAAATATCGAAGCTCGTCTGTGTATAGATTCGCCACCCAAATGTGGACTCTGAAACGTAACTGCTAGAAGGCGCCAAATTGAAAAAATTCGATCATACAACGTATAGCGTTTTTGGTTTGACAGTATTCGCAGAATAAACGCCATAACTTGTCAAGCAAATAGCGCAAGAAGGAATTATTTTATTATAAAAGCAACAAAACTAATGAACGTGAGAACCAAATGTGAATCATGCAAATAAATATCCTGGTAAATTAGAATCGTCTACATTACAGTTCCTTATGGCCTCTCGGCGAAAGGTAGTCGTTCTTTTGCATCGAGACGCGAGAGCACCATTGAGGTTGCAGTGAAAGATACTTGCGAATAATTGTCTTTAGGAGTAAAAGAAGGCTTTTATTACTCACTCGCTTTACGTGTCGCTTTGAAATGTTTAAGGACATGGTTAGATTTGTAGACGGCACTGCGGGGAACTCTAATGGAAACGACAGAAACAGTGAAGACTTTGAGCTTTTCCGAGAAAATAACATTTATTCAAACTCCAATTTATAAGCATTTTGCTTTTGAGGCTAAAGCCTAACTGCATTTCTCAAAAGTCTTCAAAAAGAAACAACATTTGCAGCTTTGCTTCAAGCTTTTTAAGAGCGACTGTCCAGAAAAATCGAGCAAAATYKAAAATATCCGGCCAMAATGAAAATTTCAAATTCCTTGAAACTCAGATCCTGGACACCTTTCTGTGAGCCTACTAACGTGGTCTAATCGGTTTTTTGACCTACGTTGAAAAATTTGAGTTTTTGAGCAAAATTGGTTTTACCCTGATTTGGTCTAAAATTAGCATATGAGACCGTTGAAACTTGCAACTTTTTGAAAGTTATTTCTTCAATCAATTTAAATATTTTTGCGCAATCTTTTTACAGAATCCGAAAGAATACATCCTAAGGAGTTGCCCGGAATCGGTTTTGGCTTTTCAATGTATTTTTAACGGKGAGGAAAAATGACTTTTTCTTGGCCGGTTTTCAAAGCTTGATTTGAGTTGAAATTTCCGAACACATTTTTCTCCATGTGGCCATTCTCCAATTTTTACCAAACTCACCCTGAATGAGGTTGAAATATCAATATAAACCGAGGTAGAAAAATATTTCTGGGTTTTTACACTGGTAGTGCGATAG